GGGGCTCGATCCCAGGACCCTGGGATCATGACCTGAGCCAAAGGCAGACGCTTAACGACTGAGCCACCCAGGCGCCCCTGTTCTTTCCATTCTTACATAGTAAAATTCCATTCTTACTTTAAACTGTCAACATTGGATTGAAATTCAAGAGAGCTTTGCTTGCTTTAGGTTTGAGAGATTTTTATTTTGTAGATGTATGTTTGAATAGAAGCTCTAATCAGTTGAATTGGTACTTAGTTATACGGGAGAACCTTGGTTTTTTGGTTTTTTTTTTTAACTATAATTTCTTATAAGACCTTTTCCCTCAAAATGTAAGCCATGCTGTATATGTACTCATTGAGTCTTGAAGTCAGCATGATTGGGTTTTTAGTTTAAGTGAAAAACAAATTACTTTGTCGAATGATGTTCTTTTGGCCACTGGGGGATTAATTTAGATTATCAGTAGTGGGCAAATGGTTGTTGAATTGGTCATTTACCACTCACCTTTTGATTCAGAATATTTATAGATGTTGCCCTTGTCTGCCTTTGGGAGTTGGTGTCACTGACAAATACATGCTTATTTACTCATTGGGCTCATTGGCCTACAGAGGTTGCTGAAGTAATCTGTGAACTGTTTTTCAGGTATTTTGCTGAATTTAAGTATTTGTATAAAGTGCCCAGTAAGAGTTTGAGTATGTGATAATTATTTTCTTCCTCTTTAGAAACCTGTTTCCACTCCACTGAGGTGGCCAGGCATGCTTGTACCAAGGCAGAATGTTTCACCCCCGGATATGTCAAATTTGTCTCTAAAAAGTGATCAAGGTAGAGTAATCCTAAAAGCAAAACGCTTAGATAAGTGTGGGTGCGCAAACACAATGATATATTGATCAGTAATTATGTGTTCTGTTCATTTTGATCCTGCATTTCAGAATAATCGCCTACAAGGGTTCAAATATGATAATGCTAAAGTTGTAAAAGATCGGGTAATTTGCATTTGTTGAAATAACAGTGGAGAGATTGTTTTGTTTTATACAAAAATCTGGTCTCTTGGTTAATAACCACTTTATATGTTACTAAATATACTAAATAATAATATTATAGTAATATACTAAATATACTTCTTAAATTTAAGTGTTTATAGCTAGACTCTTAAATACATTTAAATTATAAAGAGGTTGAATTACTGAGCTAGCCTAGAAAAGAACTTAGCTAATAAGAATCCTTGTTATTCCTTCTGGCTGTTTTGTGTTCTGACTTTGTTGAAGATTAATAAACTTTTAACAGTCTTTTTTTTTTTCTAAGATTTTATTTGTCAGACAAAGGGAGCACAAGCAGGGGAAATGGCAGGCAGAGGGAGAGGGAGAAGCAGGCTCCCTGCTTAACCAACTGAGCCACTCAGGTGTCCCAACTTTTAACACTCTTAAATGTGGCCAATCCTGTTAAATAAGACGCTTCACACATTCTCATATTTCTTTCTTTAGAGAATTTATCGGTGTTCTTATTTATATTGGTAAAAAGTGAAGAGTGAACTAAATTGTCCATAGTTTATATCAGAGTTTTTCTATACTGATTCTACTTGGCTTTATTTCCCAAACCTCTTGTATTTGTTGAATATGGGTCACAGCTTTTCTTAAGTCATTCCTAAAATTTGGGGCTTATGTTTAGCTAAATTATGTAGAGCTGGCTTCAAGTTTGAATAATTTCGTTGCTTCATGCAGAGTGGTTACCACTGTAATTCTTGATAAGTGTAATTATAAAAATTTTGATTCATTTATCTGGTACAGATGATTAGTTTTCTCTTTTCCAGCTCTTAGGATTATGGGAACACAAGGAAAATGGTTCTAAAACTTTTGCTTTTGTAGAGGATTCAACTCTCAACTGTTTGTGTTGTCTTACTTTTTTTCTTTTTATTTATTTTTTTTAGCTCTCCTTGGAGGCATTTTTTATTTTTTGAACATTTTTAGCCATGGTGAGCTACCTCCTCATTGTGAACAGCGCTTCCTCCCTTGTGAAATAGGCTGTGTTAAATATTCTCTCCAAGAAGGTATTATGGCAGATTTCCACAGTTTTATAAATCCTGGTAAGTAGAGTGAGTAGATGCTAGATATTAAACAGTATTCATTTTATGTTGACTTTATTCAACAGGATTTGTTTTCTTAAGGGCTGATGTAGAGTTCTTAAAGTGTAGTAAGACTTCATTATAATTGGTTGAAAAATTGTTAAGAATTAGGTGTTTACACACAGTTTTTTAGTTTAAGCTTTTAATCTCAAGAAAGTATTAGAGTTGGGTTGATAGTATGACTGAAAAATAGCCTGTTGTTTGCTTACCTGTGGCCTTACATCTTGGAATTTTCTAAAAGCTTTTTATGCCTTTGCTTTTTTATTTCTTTAACCCATCCTTCACCTTGGAGATCACTAGATTTTAACCTGCTGTTATTTTATAACTTTGAGCAAAGTTCCTAACCCTTCTGAACTTATTAGCTTATCTGTAAAGTGGGACTAATACGTATCGTTGGCCGCTCTAAGGAGTATGAGAGAAGGTGTGAAGATAGCCTGACACATAATAGTCTCTCGGATGTTCTCAGGAGCTCTTCTGGCTGTTCCACCCAGCAAACCAAGTAGTGATGAAGACCTAGGATTCCATTAGGTTCCCAAGAGGATAGTTAAAGGACCAGTATACCTTTAAAGGCAGGTAGGAGAAACATATAGGGAGAAGAGTGAAGGGGTAGAGGTTGGGGAAAGAAGAACTTCATCTTTAGTTTTGTCAGTTGCTTTAAAATTCATTAGAATAAGCCAGCGCTTTTTCTTGTGTTTCGATGACAGAAACTAATCATCCTACTCACACTTGTGAGAGCTGCTGCTTAGGATAAATTAAATAACTACTTTTCTTCATACAGTTGTAAAACATTATAAAAAGATTGAATTTGGAGACTTTTTTTTTTAGATCTACGTACATGAGGCCCTATGTTAAGGGCCTCGTGCCCCTAGCTAAGACTCCTTAAGCAAGTTTTCTTTACTATTTCTTTTCTGTAAGGAGTAACTTCCTTTTTAAAGTAGTTTAGACAATATACCAAAATTCTTTAATAGTCATCATTCCTTTGGTTTAAAAAAAAATAAACCTCTATGAAAGTTTAATTTTTTTTGTATTTTCACATAGCAATAGCCATTACCTACCTATGTTATGACTCAGTCCATCCTATGGCATATGGCTCTAGCAAAACCAGAGAGCTGCTCTCAACAAAATATTTTGTATTACAGGTGAAATTCCACGAGGATTTCGGTTTCATTGTCAGGCTGCAAGTAAGTATGAGGGAATGGGATAGAATAATAGGCATTGAGTGTGTATGTACCTGGTTAAGACTTTACATGGACACATAAAACATAAGTTGGGGGAAGAATAACATTATTGTTGGAGAATCTTCATAGAAATGGTAGGTGGTGTATGTGATCCTTAAAAAATTTAAAATTAAATAGACTTGTGGGATACCAAAGGATATGACTGTATACCTAAACTCTGAACTGAACTCTTCTACGAACTAGGTTTTAACCAGTTTCCTCTGTGATTAGAATGAAAATCATGATAATAGTTTTATTTTTAATTTACATTCAAAAGTGTCATTGTTTTTTTACTTAAAAATGTAGACAACTAGCCTATAGAAGTGTTTGAAATTAGAAATAAGTTTTTCAAATCTGCCATAACAAGCAGCTATTTTGTTATATTTATAATGCTGTTCTTTATAAATGAAAAGAATATTTTAGAGTCCCTTTTGGTTATGTCCTTTGAGTTTTTTCCAGTCTTAGTGAAAAATATGTACTAGACTTTTTTTGTTTGCCTGGGATCAGGGCAGTAGACTGTGGAACAAAGTAGGGGCAAATTTTTTTAGTTGGTCCTTTTATAGCTTTGAATGAAAAACATATATAATACAAAAGAGGAATTCTGTTGTAGATTTTGAAGTGTGAATCTAGCTAATCTCCCCACGTGTTACATCATCTGAAGTTATTAACTAAATAGGGGGTGGTAAGACAAAAATAGAAACTTAGCTGGTGATTAACTTCATTTTTACTTCAGCTGTTTCTGGTTTTTTCATTGGTTGAGTGCATTGGAATTCCTGCTGTTTGCGAGCAGGCCACTGGCCTTACTGTTCATTATTTTGGTTCTGATAAATACTTGATTTTTAAAAAGTTTTTAAGGCTTCTTTTTACAACATTTTCAAGTTAACCAGATTAAGAGAAACCTATTAAAGACTCTAGGAATGTTTTCTTAATTTATTTTTCAAACTAATTAAAATTGAATACAATTCATTCAGGAAAGCTCATTGGTGAGCTGCTTTGGCGTTCACCAATTTAGACAGGTCTTAAATTGCCAATTTGGTAACCCTGGGAAGTGTGCCGGTTAAAGAAGATACATAAATGACTGTATTAGAGTGATGGCTATGTTGACATAACTAAAAACGCTTATGCTGGTGTAATCAACCTGATACTTAGGAAAAGATCATGGTTCATAGAGGAATACACTGAAGCAAATTTACGTGTGGATGCAGAGTGAGTAGGAGCTAAGGAATGTACATGTAGATCTTTCAAATGCTCCTGTGCTAAGTGAAAGTGAAGTGAGATCAAGTGAATACTTCATGGATGGGCATGATGGTTTAGCACATTAGAATCAAAGAATTTCAAGCTTGGAAGAGGTATTGATATGGAATCTATTGATTTCCTCATCCTCATTGCCATGTTTTTCTTGGAAAGGGTACTTCAGGTTCTGTATGAGTTTGTGGGGGTAGGAGGTCTTTGGTCCTTCTCATTTTCCCTCACTTTAACCAGTGGAGCTCTGATTCTGTCCATTTTACTGCTTAATTTTCTTGGGAGAAGTTTTGCTTTAAAACAAGCAAAGCTTTGAGAACTGCTTTCAGCTTCCTATACAAAAGGTCTATCAGCTTTTAAAATCTTCATACACAAAGAATGTAACATTGACTTAAGGTATAAAGAATATTCATGAACAGCAGTGCATTCCCCAGTCAGCAGAAGAAATAAGGGCAGTGTGCTATCATTGAAGGTCATTATATCTCTCGTTGATTGCATCCCCCTCCCTCTTTATAAGAGAGACACTATTTGGAATTTTGTGCTAATCATTTCCTTTCTTTTCTGAATAGTTTTATTGTGAGTACATTTTTTTTTTTTTGAGAGTATGCATGAGCGGGGGTTGGGGGGATGGAGGGGAGGGGCAGAGGGAGAGAGAGAATCTTAAGCAGGCTCCGTGCTCATGCCCCACTTGGGGTTCAAACCTACGACCCTGAGATCATGACATGAGCTGAAATCACGAGTTGGACACTTGGGGCGCCTGGGTGGCTCAGTTGTTAAGCATCTGCCTTCAGCTCAGGTCATGATCCCAGGGTCCTGGGATCAAGCCCCGCATGGGGCTCCCTGCTCCGCAGGAAGCCTGCTTCTCCCTCTCCCACTCCCCCTACTTGTGTTCCCTCTCTTGCTGTCTCTGTCAAATAAAATCTTAAAAAAAAAAAAAAAAAGAGTTGGATGCTAACCAACTGAGCCACCCAGGCATCCTGTGAATATATATTCATTTAAATTATGTATTTAATTTTGTTTTTTTTAACTTTTATATAATTCTTTCTGTACCTGTATTTTTTTTTTTAACTCAACATTATCTTTTCCCAATTTTTCTGTTGGATTGTCCTTTACATTGGTTTGTGGAATTTTATTATGTATCTGATTTAATTGCAGACTTAATTGCAGATTGATTTAATTTGCAGATACCTATTTTCAGTTTGTGCATTATATTTTTTTATTGTCATTATGGCATCTTTTAATGACTAAAAGTTTTTATTTTTAATTTAGTAAATGTATCAATCTTTTCCCTTACGTTTTGAGGGGTTTTAGTGTCTTATTTAAGAATCCTCTTTTATCTGAAGGCCATAAATGATAGTTTTTATTGTTTTGTTTTTCATATCCAAGTTCTTAGTCCACCTGGCATTGACTTGTGTATGGTGTGAAGTAGAGATTTTTTTCATTTTTTTCCCATGTGGATAATCAGTTGTCTCGGCATCATTTATTCAATAAGCAATTTGTTCCTCAGTATGTAGTGCCACATTTCTGTTGATGCCTGGGTCTTTTTGATATCTTTTATTTTGTTCTATTGGTCTACTTGGTTTTTGGTACCCATACCATTAAACACAATATTTTAATACTTAGACAAGTTCCTTGACTTTGTTTTGGAACATCATCGTTATTCTTGACCCTTTGTTCTTCCATACGATTTAGAGTCAGAGTATCAATGCTTTACAAAAAGCTTTGTTGACATTTAGATTGGGATTCCCTTTAAATTTTCAGATCATTTTGGAGAAAATGGACAGCTTCATGATATTCTATCAGTGAACAGGAGTCTACTTATTTTTTTAGATCTGTAATGCCTTATAATACTTATAATTTTTTCACAATGATCTTAATATCTTAAATTTATAGCTTATAAATTTTGTTATTTATAAGTGATATCTCCTAGAATTATATTTTTATTTACTTTTGTAGTTTAGTTTTATCCAGCCATTGCTAAACTATAACTCTTGAGTTTTTAGTAAATTCCTTAGTCATATCTGTGAAATGACCTTTTTCTAATCTATATATTTTTTATTTAAAACTTTAAAAATTTGTTTTAGGGTGCTGGCTAGGAACTCTGGTTTCTAATGTTTCACCATTAGAGTATGCTGTTTGCTGTGCTTTTTGTTTCTTTTTTCTTCTCTCATTTTTTGTATGCACTCTTGATCAGGGTTAAGAAGTTCCCTTCTATTCCCAGCTTGGTTAGAGATACCAGTTGTACATTTTAATGAGTGGTTTTTCTGTGTCTCACTTGATTTGTGTCTTTTGTTCATTTGGTAATTTGCTAATGCTAAACCAACCTTAAATTCCAGCAGTAAACACAATATAGTCACTACATAGCTCTTAAAGAAATTGCTGGATTTGGTTTGCTCATATTTTGTTTTAGGATTTGTGCAATCATGTTAAAGACTGAGATTAGTCTTACCTAATTTTGTTACCAGGGTTATTTTGCCGTCCTAATATGGGTTAGAGAATGTGTCTTCAGTTTTTTTAATTTACCTTTGGTTCCTTATGGTTTTGCTGAAATTATCAATTATTTTTTTATTTTCCTGAACATTTAAAGTCTTGGGGCGCCTGGGTGGCTCAGTCGTTAAGCGTCTGCCTTTGGCTCAGGTCAGGATCCCAGGGTCCGAGCCCCGCATCGGGCTCCCTGCTCAGCGGGAAGCCTGCTTCTCCCTCTCCCACTCCCCCTGCTTGTGTTCCCTCTCTCCCTGTGTCTCTCTCTGTCAAATAAATAAATAAAATCTTAAAAAAAAAAAAAATTAAAGTCTTATGTCTGATAACCCTATTATAGAGATCTTCTTTATGGATCTGTTGGTTATCTTGATGTTCAGTCACGGTATCAGATCTCTTCATATTTCTGATTATTTTTGAGTGCTGAACAGTAGGTAGGAAAACTTGTTATTCCTCTCCAAAAAAAATTTATGATTGATTCTGGCAGAAAGCTACTGTCACTAGCCATCTCAGAGTACCATAGTCCAATTTCAGAGATTGAGATAATACAAAATTGGGTTCAGACATTTTAAGAGTCCCATCTATTTCTCGTTGATCTGTAAAAAAGAGGGAAGGTAGATTACCACCAAAGGACCATCTGTGAAATTTGTAATTGACTTGATAGCATAAACGATGGAAGCCAGAAGACAATACAAGTAATACTGGAGTAATATTTTTTAAAAGATTTTATTTTTAAGTAATCTCTACACCCAACATGGGGCTTGAACCCACAACCCAAAGACTAAGAGTCACATGCTCCACCGATGCAGCCAGCCAGGTGCCCATAGAGTAATATTTTTAATTCTTACAAGTCTAGGTCTGTTGAAAATTCATTTTCTCAGAATCTAAATCTCCTCTTCCAGAATTGGTAAATGCCCAAATTACCAATGAACCCAAATGTCAGAATGAAGCTCTCTAGCATTTCTTCCTCTTCAGGATTTTGGACCCCTAATTCCTTGCTGCTGTTTTATCTCTTCAGTGTTTTCAAGCAGGTGTTTCATTTGTTCAGCTTTTCTCTAGTCTGTCATTATCAGAAATTCTTCTGTATCCTTTTTTATAACTATATGCTGAAATTCATAATTTGATCTCCTCAGATATAAGTATGATTATTTAAAATCTGTGCTGAATAACTTCAGTAGCTGGAATACCTTTGGATCTCTTCCTATCAAATTTGGTTTGGTTTTCATTCTTCTTCATGTACCTGGTTATTTTTTTTTTTTTTAAGATTTTATTTAATTGACAGACACAGCAGCGAGAGTGGAAACACAAGCAGGGGGAGTGGGAGAGGGAGAAGTAGGCTTCCCATTGAGCAGGGAGCCCGATGTGGGGCTCGATCCCAGGACCCTGGGATCATGACCTGAGCTGAAGGCAGATGCCTAATGACTGAGCCACCCAGGTGCCCCTGTACCTGGTTATTCATATAGACTGAAAAAATGATTTTTTTTTTTTTAGTGTGACAAATTTATTGGTATTTAAGATTTATTTTAGGGCAGGAAGGAGGAGAGAGGGAGAGAAAGAATCTTGAGCAGACTCCCCGCTGAGCTTGGAGCCTAACATGGGGCTCAATCTCAGGACCCCAAGATCATGAACAAAGAAGTCAAGAGTTGGACACTTAACCAACTGAGACACACAGGTGCCCCAAATTTATTGGCATTTTAGTAAAGACATTGATCTCAGTCATTTCTCTCCCATCTTGACCTTAGGTTAATATTTCATTTGAGTCCAGAAAAGAACATGTAGGAGAGGGATGTTATTTTAATGTAAACAGTAAAATGGACAAAAGTGGAAAGTTTGCTTACATTAAAGCAAGTTAAATTCATGTATCTTGATATAATTAAATCATGTAAGAACTAATAGTTCTATATACATTTCCATTGTTTGGGGCTTACTCTAAACTTAAATGCAAATGAACAAAGTGTTAGGGATGCATACAGGTTGCTTCTCTATTACCTATTAAAAGAGCCCAGCCAGTAGTTATCACCAATAAAATAGTCTGAAGCTGCTTCCAAATTAAACACTGCAGGAGTTTTCAAGGAAATCATTATACTGTATGTTTCTTTTATCTGTGTCTCTGCTTTTAAAGATGTGAAAAATCACATGAAAAAAATATACAAAATTTTTTTAAAACCCTACAATACATAGATCTAACAAAGTATATGTGGTCAAAGATCCCATAAGATATGTTTAAAGATGCATTTTCTTTTACCTTCAGTACCTAAGCTGTACTTTTGAGAGGTCATTGATTAATATGTATACACTTTGAATCCTATTACTGTGCTAAAATAAGAATTCTTGTATTAAGTCCAACCAAATCACTTTCACAAGTTAGTAACTTAACCTTTAACAGAGTTGCAGAAAGTACATCATTCTCCTTTTCATCTTCATACAATGTTGCTTTTTTGGTTCTACCTTTAAAAAAAAAAAAACCCAGCCAAATATTTATTATATGTACATTTAAATTTTTGGTGGTGGTCTGTATTTGAAAAGCGCTTCCTTGTGATGCCTCAGGATCTGGTGGAAATGTTTACAGGGACTAGCTAATAACAAAAACCAAGGCAAGCACATTCAAAATACTGATTTACTTTGGTAGCAAATGGTCTTTGAAGACTAATGAAGGTAGACAAGACCCATTAAGGTGAAGTGGGCTATTTCAAATACTCAACAATTTACATGAAATTTAAAAAAGTTTTTTTAAAGAGCTAAGCATCTATACCAACTGATAGCAGTGCAATACCTCGTTTATGATGACTTGAAACAAAACAAAGGCCCGTTAGGAAAAAAGCTGTATTTTAATTTTATCTAATATATTCCAGTAACATTTTCCTCCCAATACAATACTCCCTCTCTATAAGGCTGTTCCTGGGAGCCAGACAGGTTAGGTTAATAAGGGAGTTAAAAGTAATTGCTTGCAGTTTAAATAGATGATAACTTTTTGCCTCCCTTTTTAATGTGCTAATAGTTGTGTCTTAAAAAAAAATATGCAATTCTTAGAAAAGTACCATTTCTGATTTTTTTTTTAATTATCTGTAACCTTTTGGAAACTAATCACATGATACTACAAAATTAGCAAACGTCGTGAAATCTGAATACAAAACATAAATTAACTCTAATTTCAAACTCTTATTAGAGTACCACCACCCAATCTTAAAAAAAAAAAAAAAATGGTGGCTCCAAGGATATTCTATTACCATTCTTTAAAAAAGGAAACTATTCCTTTTTTTTTTTTGGAAACTATTCCTTTTAACTTTACACCCACGCCATCCTCCAGTTTCAAAACACATCATTTGTCTTGGTCGTGGACATTTCTGAGATGAGATTTTATATTTCGCTCCCATAGCTTCTGGTTATCAGAGAAACCATGCTTTACTTTATTGAAGGAATTGGGATGTAGATGTATCCCTTCCAGTATTCTTCATTCTCATCTTTGGAGGCATTTCCTCTGGTTCACTGTCTTCCTCTTCATTAAAAGCTGCTGCTACTGAAAAGGTTTTTGGAGCAAGAGTTGAAACCGTTTTTTTAGGTTTATTTGATCCAAGTTTGATGGATATGGCTGAGGCTTTCTTTGTTGTCTGACTACCTATGGCAAATCCAAACTTGGAGATGTTTGTAGGCTTTGTTGGGAAGTCTGCAAGCTGCTTCTTCAGCAGCTCGCTTCTCAACACTGCGACTGGAACTTCCCCCTCCATTACTCCAGAGGCTCCAGCTTACCTTGGCTTCTCAGGCTTCTCCTCTTCCACCTTCCTGTCCACCCTTTTCCCTGCCATGCTGAAAAAAATGATTTTAAAGTAATTTGGGGCTTATAACGATGTTCCCTTCATCCAGAGAGGATTTATGTTTGCTTTTGCTAGATAGCTGGGGGCCGAGCAAACCAGGTCCCAAAAGCTGTCAAAAGCACACTTCACAGCTGTTCAATTTCCTCTTCTGGAATTAGCAAATAACTGCAGGGGGAAAACTGCCCCCAAAGCTAGGCTCTCTGGAGAGCCTCTCTGGATTTCTGTATTCTCTTGCATCTGGATCTAATAATTTCTTGCTACTGTGTGTGCTCTTGATATCCTCAGGTATTTTAAATTTTTGTGGGAGGTTGGTCTGAATTATTTTGTCCATTTTTTTTTTACTGGAAGTGGAAATCTTAATCCTACAGCCTTTTAAACAGCAGTCATTGCTGTTAAGTTCTCCAGCCTTATATGTATAAAACAGATTCATGAAAGGTAGATGGGAATAGTGAAAACATAGAGGCTCTTAAATCTGGGTTTGAGTCCTGACTCCATTGTTTGCCAACTATTAACCTACTGTGCTAACTTCTGTGATTGTCAGTTGTGTCTTCTCTAATATGTGTATATCCCCTATCCCATAAGATTATGGGATAAAAAAGTACCTAACCATACCTAAGCTTGGTACAAGTGCTTAAATATGAGTTACGCAGTACTGTCTTCCTGAACTCCTACTTCCTTACCCTCTTCATAATATTTGTCTTGGTCAAATTTTGAACTCCTTCCTCCTTTTTATTCCCTTCAGGTGATTCTAGTCACAAGATTCCTATTTCAAACTTTGAATCTGGGCATGACCAAGCAACTGTGTTACAAAACCTTTATAGGTTTATTCACCCAAACGCAGGAAACTGGCCACCTATCTACTGCAAGGTAATTTCATTGTAAGAATTTTTTTTTTTTTGTAAGAATTTTTTTTAAGGCATCCACTTAGATACTGAAAGATCCATGAAAGATATCCAAAGAAAGTAAGTTTGCTTGTATGTTAGCTGTGTGTGTTAAAACGTGTTCATTGTGAATTGTTTTGAATGTGATTAGGTATAATAATTCCTGTGGTTTTATAGGGATTCTGAAGACTGCAAAAGCTGAATGTATTTCTACTTTGATCTCATGTTTTTAGTTTCTCCTGCTGAAATATCTTCTCAGTATCTTTTTACTCTGAAGAAAGGGTGTTCTAATCTGTACACACCCATCCTTCTAAGTAAGATTACTGTTTATTCAGAACTGTTTTTGTAGCAATCTCTTGACCCTCTTTTGTAATCTTTAGAGAGCCTTTATTCTTTATTTTGTCTAAATTCTTTTACCTAGTAGTTGAAGAACTGGGTTTTAACCTTACTATTTTAGTGTAACCATGAACAGATTATCTTTTTCTGAACATTGGTTTCTTCATGTGCCTACCCTAGATTTCCCTTGCTTTTCAGAGAGTCTGTTAACATTGCTTTATAAATGTAACTGGTTATTAAAAGCAGTAGTCTTTTAAAATACATGTTGCTCTTTTTTATGGTTCTCATTTAGTTGTCACAAACTCTTTAGTCTTTCCCTTCCTGCCACCCCCACCTCCCCAGTTTGAAAGGACCGCAATTGATTAAAATTAACTCAATGTAGGAGAAAATAAAAGTAATTTTTTTCCCTTCTCCAGTCTGATGACAGAGCCAGAGTCAACTGGTGTTTGAAGCATATGGCAAAGGCATCAGGTAAGTAAAACTAGGTCACTGTTGAAGTGCATTATAATAACTCTATTTCCATTTTGGTATACATGTTCTATGTGCCTAAATTCAGTAATTGTTTGTCTTTTTCTGTTTACCTATGGAAGAAATCAGGCAAGATCTAGAACTTCTCACTGTAGAAGATCTTGTAGTGGGGATCTACCAGCAAAAGTTTCTTAAGGAGCCCTCTAAAACCTGGGTTCGGAGCCTCCTAGATGTGGCCATGTGGGATTATTCTAGCAACACAAGGTATGGTGGTTTTGTGATAGTGATTATGGCTTTTTGAACTGAGAAAATATGGCAGGATTAATTTTTCCTTTCTCATCAACAGGCAGTATTTTCCTATGAAACTTTGGGATTATTATTTCTTTGAATAATAAGATTCCATTGATTGTCATTCTGTCTACAACTAGAAACAAAACACACTACCAAATAACTGACATGGTGCTTTATCACTTAGGGTTTTTGTACTGATGAAAGAATATATTTATTTAAACAGACGTTTTACGGGGCGCCTGGGTGGCTCAGATGGTTAAGCGTCTGCCTTCGGCTCAGGTCATGATCTCAGGGTCCTGGGATCGAGTCCTGCATTGGGCTCCCTGCTCCTTGGGAGCCTGCTTCTCCCTCTGCCTCTCTCTCTCTCTCTCTCTCCCTGTCTCTCATGAATAAATAAATAAAATCTTTAAAAAAAATAAAAATAAAAAAATAGACGTTTTATTACATAGGATTCTTAGACTTACATATAAGAAATACGTAAGTGAAATAAATTGAAAGTATTTTTTATTTTGAAATAATTTCATGTTTATGTTTGGTAGAATTCTCCTTGGGAAACCATCTGGCCCTGGACTCTTATTTTTTGGGAGGTTTTTGATTACGGTTTCAATTTCCTTGCTGGTTATGGGTCTGTTCAGATTGTCTATTTCTTCCTGTTTCAATCGTTTATAAGTGTCCAGGAATGCATCCATTTCTTCCAGATTGCCTAGTTTGTTGCCATATAGCTGCTGGTAATAAGATCTAATAATTGTCTCTATTTCCTTGGTATTGGTTGTGATTTCTCCTCTTTCATTCAAGATTTTATTAATTTGGGTCCTTTCTCTTTTCCTTTTTATAAGTCTGGCTAGGGGCTTATTGATCTTACTAATTCTTTCAAAGAACCAGCTTCTGGTTTCGTTGATCTGTTCTACTGTTCTTCTAGTTTCTGTTTCATTGATTTCTGCTCTAATCTTTATTATTTCTCTTCTCCTGCTTGGTTTAGGCTTTCTTTTCTGTTCTTTCTCCAGCTCCTTTAGGTGTAAGGTTAGCTTGTGCAGTTGGGATTTTTCTAATTTTTTGCGAGAGACTTGGATGGCTATGTACTTCCCTCTAAGGACTGCCTTTGCAGTATCCCGTAGGTTCTGAACTGATGTGTGTTCATTTTCATTGGTTTGCATGAATTGTTTTAAGTTCCTCTTTAATTTCCTGGTTGACCTATTCATTCTTTAGCAGGATGCTTTTTAACATCCAAGTGTTTGTGTTCCTTCCAAATTTTTCCTTGTGGTTGAGTTCCAGTTTCAAAGCATTGTGGTCTGAAAATAATGCAGGGAAGAATCCCAATCTTTTGGTATAGATTGAGACCTGATTTGTAACCCAGTATGTGGTCTATTCTGGAGAAAGTTCCATGGGCACTTGAGAAGAATGAGTATTCTGTTGTGTTCGGATGGAATGTTCTGTGTAAATATCTATGAGGTCCGTCTGGTCCAATGTGTCCTTCAGAGCTCTTGCTTCTTTGTTGATGATCTGCTCAGATGATCTGTCCATTGCTCTCAGTGGGGTGTTGAAGTCTCCTATTAATGTATTATTATCAATATGATTGTTTATTTTGGTTATTAGTTGGTTTATGTAGTTGGCTGCTCCCATGTTGGGGGCATAGATATTTACAATTGTTAGATTTTCTTGTTGGGTAGACCCTTTAAGTATGATAGAGTATCCCTCTACATCTCTTACTACAGTCTTTGGTTTAAAATCTAATTCGTCTGATATGAGAATTGCTACCCCAGCTTTCTTTTGAGGTCCGTTGGCATGATAAATGGTTCTCCATCCCCTCACTTTCAATATGGAGGTGTCTTTAGGTTCAAAATGAGTCTCTTATAGACAGCATATGGATGGGTCCTGCTTTTTTATCCAATCTGAAACCCTGTGTCTTTTGATAAGAGCATTCAATCCATTCACATTGAGAATAACTATTGACAGATATGAATTTAGTGCCATTGTATTGCCTGTAAAGTCCCTGTTTCCATAATTGTCTCTGTTAATATCTGGTCTATATTACTCTTGGGGTCTTTCTTCTTTTATAGAATCCCCCTTAATATTTCTTGCAGGACTAGCTTGGTGGTCACATACTCTTTCGTTTTTTGCCGGTCCTGGAAGCTCTTTATCTCTCCATCCATTCTGAATGACAGCCTTGCTGGATAAAGTATTCTTGGCTGCATGTTCTTCTCATTTAGTACCCTGAATATGTCTTGCCAGCCCTTTCTGGCTTGCCAGGTCTCTGTGGATAGGTCTGGTGTTATTCTGATGTTCCTCCCTCCATACGTAAGAAATCTCTTCCCCCAGCTGCTCTCAGGATAGCTTCCTTGTCTCTCAAGATTTGCAAGCTTCACTATATGTTGGGGTGTTGATCTATTTTTGATTTTTGGAGGGGTCCTCTCTGCTTCTTGGACATGAATGCTTTTATCCTTCTCCAGATTAGGGAAGTTCTCAGCTAGGATTTGCTCAAATATACCTTCTAGTCCTCTTTCTCTCTCCACCCCCTCGGGGATCCCAGTAATTCTGACATTGGAATGTTTCATGGTGTCCTTGATCTAAGTCTATTTTCATGGGCTCCTAGCTGCCTATCCCTGTCTTCCTCGGCTTCCTTCATTTCTATCAGCTTATCTTCTAGATCACTGATTCATTCTTCTGCCTAATTTACCCTGGCTGTTATAGTATCCAGTTTAGACTGCATCGCATGCAGAGCATTTTTAAGTTCGGCCTGGTTAGATCTCATTTCTGCCCGTAGAGATTCTATGTTGTCACTTATGCTTTTTTCAAGCCTAGCTATTGATTTCATAATTGCTATCCTGAAGTCTATCTCTGACATCTTGCTTATATCCATATAAGCAAGTTCTGTGGCAGAGGACATTGTCTCTGGTTCTTTGTTGGGAGTTCTTCCTCCTAGTCATTCTGTTGAGGGATGGTTGAGTGAATGAACAGAGTCCAAAGTATCAACCATGACCCAAGCAAGATGCACCTTAGAAAAAAATCCAAAGTGGTCAAAAGCTACCACAGATGCAACCAAGGCCAAGATGATCCAAAACAACAAAAAAGAAAGGAAAAAAAAAGGGGAGGTGGGAGTGGGGAGAGAGATTATCATCTCTCAGGGTGGACAAAGCAGGGTGATCTGCCTGTTCCTGATTGATTTTTGGTCTGTATGTTAGAAGACACTATATCCCCAAATTGCAAAGAAATCAGAACTTATATGTGTGTGTGTGTGTGTCTGTATCAAGATAAAATTGAATAGAGTGAAAAATGGGCTAGTATTGGGTATAAATCTATAAAACATAGATGTGAAAAAAATAAAAGTTAAGTGACTTAAAAACAGGTTGGGAAATAAGAATCTGTTTGAAACAGGAACAGGGTAAAAAAACAAAATTTTAGCCTGAACTGTAAAGGAGTAGTGAGGGAACACCTGGAGCTCCCTATATTATTTTCCCCTGGTGCTGGAGTTTTACAGTCCTCTGGGAAGTAAGCTTATCTTTCACCTGTTCTTCGTCTGTCTTCTGGGGGAGGGGCCTGCTGCTCGGCTTCTCAGGCCTCTTTGCCTGCGTGGAGTTGCCCCACCTCTTGTCAGGGGGATGGGCTTAATGTGAACTGGTTGGCTGTGTGGCTTTTGTTCCCTGGTGGCTTGCCACTTCTCTTTAGAGGGTTGGAACAAATATGGCTGTGCGGGAATCTCTGGCCCACAGCCGCAATGTCGCTGTCCCCACCCCATCCGGGTCAAACCATCTCTACTTCTGCACGTATCAAGCTCCACAGACTTGTGCATTTCGTGCCTGCCACACCTTTCCCAGGGGAGTCACGGGGACCCAGGAGCATCTCTGCACTTTGTAACTCCACAACTGCTAGTGGTCATGGGCTCATGCATGCACCCTCTTCTGCAGCTCCCTTGTCATGCTGGGTGCTGCCCCAGTGTCCTTTCGTGGGCCACACCGCCCTGAATGCTGTTGCCCTGTCTTGGGCACAAGCTGTTTTATATCTCCCCTAGGATGTTAAACAGCCCGCACCTTCTAGTCCTTTTCAGGGTGGTCAGGCAGAGGGCGATCTCCTTACCAGTGCAGCTTACAGTTTATGGTGTCCGGAGCTGAGAGTCCCCTCTGGGCTCACTGACCACAACCAGTCTCCCCACTCCACTGCTTGGGCACTCTATCGGCTCAGGCTCACCCGTTCTTTGTGAGTCTCCTGGAATCCTGAGACCACAATGATCCCCCTAGAATGCTGCCTTATTCATCCCCTGTGCCCTTTTCAGAAGGGGTGCCTCTCACTAGAGCAGATTGCCAGGGGGCCTGATTTTTTGCTCCGGTGTTATATCACTTTCCAGTGGCTGGCTTATGGAGGCTCCCTCCCCTCTTCATTATCTTCGATATTTCCCCTGAAGATTCAAGGTTCTGTACCTCCTACCTTGCAAAAAGTAGTCATTTTTCTGCTCGTGGAGGTCCAGATAAATCTTCTTGCATGTCATTGAATTTGTGTGTGTTCAGAATGGTTTGATAGATATCCAGCTAAATTCGAGGGACCAGATGAAACAAGGTCCCCTACTCTGCCACCACCTTGCCCCCCTCCTCTAAGATTTCATTCTTTTTATGGCTGACACATACACCACATCTCCTTTATCCATTCATCAGTTCATGGACATCTGGGCTCTTTCCATAGTTTGGATATTGTTGATAATGCTGCTATAAACATTGGGGTGCATGTATCCCTTCAAATCAGTATTTTTTTTTAAAGATTTTATTTATTTGACAGAGAGCACAAGCAGGGGGAGCAGCAGACAGAGGGAGAGGGAGAAGCAGACTCCCCACTGAGCAGGGAGCCTGACACGGGGCTCTATCCCAGGATCCTGGGATCATGACCTGAGCTGAAGGCAGACACTTAACCGACTGAGCCACCCACGTGCCCCAAAATCAGTATTTTTGTATCCTTTGGGTAAATACCTAGTAGTGCAATTGCTGGAT